GCAAGCACTGGGCTGGAAGCGCCAAGGGGCTTTTTGTGCCTCCTGTGCTGCCTTGGGTGGGGGGGAAGGGGGGGATGGAGGGAGGGAGCTGATGGTTTTGGAGGTTACTAGTCATTAAACGTAGTGATGTGAGTCTGCCTGGAAGAGGAGTTCTCCTTTCACCTTCGCCCACACCAGTGATCAGTCTCAGGTAGGCAACTGCTTCAGCCTCTCGCCGAGCTCCTGTGACATCTGAGACCTGCTGTCAAGCTTCACTATTCTAGGGAAATAAGTGGGGAAGCAGGAACCCAGGTGGGCGCAGCTGGGTTTGGGCTGCTGCCCTTGGCCACCATTCACGCCTGCTCAGGCTGAGGCTCCAGCCAGCGTTAGGGGACAGGGAGCCACAGATTGTGTCCAGAGGCAACGGGCTGCACAGGAGCAAAGCAGCACACACACTTAGGCTAGGGTGATGGACTGACATCTGTCTGAATCTCCCTTTTGTGTCTGCATGATCAAAAGGAGTGTGAACAAAAGAAGGCAAAACATGAGGTGTTCTATATGTAGTAAAAAAACAGCAGTGAATACATGTAGCACCTTTATTATTACAGTTCTGGTACACCTGGAATCAGGAATCAGGGATTGGCACGTCTGTCTTCCAAGAACCTGGTTCTGCAAACTGCCTGGTACCCCACCTTTGCTTCGCTCCTGGAATTGTCTGAGGGTGTTGGCTAGAATTAGTTACATACTTGGTATCAGTGTGTGTAAACAGCCCGACTGATTCAGGCCCTTAGTCCTCACAGGAAAAAAAAAAAAAAAAAAAAAAAAAGGAGGAAGTTCTGCTCTTGGTCAAGTTGGTGCTGTGACTCAGTGACTGTGGGCTCTAGATTTCATCTTGCAAATCAGTTTGAAGAGCAGTCTGTTACGGTGTGGGCTGCAAATAGTGCAAATGGGCCGTTTGTGCAAAGTGAATGGAATTGTTAACCCGCACCGTGACCATGTCCTGTGATCTCAATGTGATAACCAAGCTCTGCTTTTCTGGGTCATGCTTCCTGTTTCCAGATCTGCAAAGTAAGGCTGATGAGAGCAGAAAAGAAAACACATGAAAGAAATATCAGTGTAAGATTGAATAGATAGCTTCCCCATGCCACCTCTTAGTCGGAAGATGATTATTTTATAAAAAGATTCTCGTGACTTAAAGATATAATGACTTTGATCTAGTCGCCTTTGATGCTTGAACGTACTTGAAAATGTAGATATTATTGCAAGAAGACAAAATGTTATCAAAAATGTTAACAAAATGTTATCAAAAATGATTTAAGTTTTAGGAACTGGAATGAAAATAACTTAGAATATAGTCCAACTAGAGTCTACCCAAATTCCTGTTTTAGTCTGTGTTCTTTTCAAGAAACTGACAGATTTGATATTGTAGATACCACAATAAGAAATTCAAGATAAGTAAAAAACAGTTAACTCTATGAGTTTCTATCTTGTGACTACTAAAGTATCTGGTTCATGTTTTGACTTCAGTGGAAGTTCTTATGTGTTGCATTGCTGAAAGGCAGTTTGAGGACATTTGCACTGAAATAACAGTTAAGTATGAGCAGAAAAAATAAAGATACTTGAAAGCTTGAGTTTATATTTAACAGTGTAGTTCTCTGCATCTTTTTACTTTCTTGCACTTTCAACAGAGGAAAAATGTTGGGATAGTCATCACACGGGTGAATCCTGCTATGTACTCATCATAGACAGGGTGGTCTACAGATGAAGTTAACTGATAAAATAACTTCTTAATTGGCTTGAAAGGAAAATTTGAAAATGTAATTATTGTGATGAAATCTGTAGATCAGTGAGCCAAAAATTTGGATGAAGGCAAATGTATACAAAATTTTGTATTTTGTATAAAGGAAAACAAAAGGAATTAACAGCCACAAGTGGATTACATGTTACTGCTGCTGCTTGAGTGACTGCTACTGGTGAAAGGACACCAAGTTCTGGAAACCATAGCTACAGTCAAAAGCTTCCATAAATCTTTGGCCTGATAGTCATATCCTTTTGTAACTTGAAGCATGGCAAAAGCATTTTGCAGAAGTAGGAAAAGGTTGTGCAGAAAGTTAGTGCGGCGGTGTGCCTTTAATGCTGTTGTTCTTCCTGAATTAAGAGGTATTAAGGGAGAGATCAGAAAACATCATACCCTGAGCAAAGTCTTTTTTTTTTTTTATTGTATGCTTCCAGTCCACGTTGTGAACTGGATAGAGAAGAGCAATCATTATTTGCTTTTCAGAACTATGGCAAAACTGTCATCTCCAGTGTAGATAAAGTACAGACATTGCTTTCTCTTCTTCCTTGAAGGCAGTCTAAGTGATCTGTTGGGACTGGTCCTGAGTGTCCCGAGTTGCAAATGTTTGTCTTTGCAACTTCATGCAAGTTACCTGTACAAATGCTGGGAATGCATGTGGCCTAATTGTTACTAGACCAAATTACAGGTAATTGATGCTCTACATTTTGTTTCTGTGGGGTTTTTTGCCTTTTTTGTTTGTTTGTTTTTTGCCGCAGATTTCATGGATTTTCTTTGAACAAGGTATCTTGTGACCATGGGTTTATCTATGTTTGACACCAAGATAGTGGAATTCTCTGGCAGGATTATGGGTGCAGACAATGAAAACTACAAGCACAGCATATATTCTGAAAAGATCACGGCTCACTCTGCTGATTCTGTAGTCACTCATGGTCCTTGTCACAGATGTGTGATTTTTGGAACACTCTTTGCATACAGTTTGTTTGCAAACTTGTAAATAATGTATTTTAGGTACGGAGAATTTGTAGAAATGAAGTTTTCCACATGCATGGTAGTAACTGGTTACAGTTTTTGCATGACAGATGCTGTGGAAATTGCATTGTATTAAATTCTTATGCTTTTCCCAAGGCATGTTCTATCAACCGTAGGTGGAGACAAGATATTCATGAAAATGGGCCTTTGATCTGATCTTCTGTGACCATTCTTTGTAATAACATGTCATGATTTTGGGGAAAGCTGGGTGCCTGTCATCTGAAGGAAAGCAGGATATTGCCTTTAATATTGAAGGCTAAGACAATAATCACAGCTATAGCAATATTACTCTCTAAATATTTAATGTATGTCTGCATTTTTTGTTCGCAGATGCTTATTTGCTTGGTCTTTGGCTCCTGTTTTGTTTAATGGGCTAAATATTCTCTGATTTCAACAGAGTTTTGTGAGGATGCTTCTGTTGTTTGAGGTACATGGATAATGTCATAGGAAAGCCTGGAAATACCTTTGGAACTGCCTGGTTTAATTTTCAGCTTGTTTTGTACACTGCAACTGTGATTACTCCCGCAGAGATTATAATCATGAGTAATGTGCAAAATGCAATTAAGTGAATGCCATGCTGATTTTCTTTAATACACTCTGCAGCCATACTGCCTCAAACTGTATTCTCATTAGCTGTTAATAAACTTAGACAGAATGCAGTAGGACAGAAATTGTGTGAGATCTCTCTAAGGAACAAATAGTTGCTGCAGTTTCTAGTTCAGTGGATAGTGCTGTCCTCTTTGCTGCTAACATTGGCAAATGAATTCTTAGATATCTTTTCTCTAGTGTATTTTGCTCTGAAAGATAAGTAATTCACTTTTTTGACTGTGATATGCTAGTAAATTAAGAGTACCTGATAACATTTCTTGCTAATATCCTAATTTCATCCAAGTGTTAAATGTTAAGGTAGAACGTGCTAATAGAGAAATAAAATACTCTGACTTCTAGGTTACCTGAACTGGTTATCAGACACTCTAATTTCATTTTCCAAAGTTAACTAAACATTATGCATTTTATTACAGGTGTACAAATACGTACTATAGTTACCTGGGTTGACCAGACAGATATTGTGTTTTGAGTTTAGGCATTAGAGGAATGCCCTGGCAAAACAGTAAATTAAACATTGTGGCCAAATTTTAAGTTCAAGTGCTAATATTTTTTAAACCTCTTGCTATTTCAGCTGGGTTGTACCCTTTGGTACTTTTTTTTTTTTTAATTTGTACATTGTCATGCATTTTGGTGATATATTCTGGTATAAAACAGGGTAACTTTTTTCAAGGATATGGAATGAATTCTGTAGTTTGTGCTGTTATTCGTAAAATGTCTTGATAGGGAGCTTCAGAAGTGAACTCTTGTTACCATGAGCAATAATGACACTGTGAAGAGTTTATTTGCGCTTAAAATTTGAAACTAGAAACATCAGCCAAATGTCTCTATAGGAAAAAAATTGAAATCCTGGAACAATTCTATGATTTACTTAAAATATTAAATCAGGACAAATAATAAGGTAAGAACAGTATAATCACTTAAGTTTGTTATGGCCATTTTTTTAGTAATGTAAATGTTTTGTAATGTTTTTCACAGTATTGCCCGATGAGAGAGAATTTCAGTATGCTGCTAAAATGAACAATTTGGAAACCATGGAAAAATTATTTAAAAAGAATATTAACATAGATGCTGTAGATACGGTGAGTATGAAATATCTGGCAGATCAATGGTCTGAAATGTTGACTTATGTTGGGTTGCGTAGTGGAATCCCGGAGTATCTGGTATGATCAGCTGCAAGGCCATGAGGCTAAGAAACCCTTTCTAGAAGCTGATTAATCTGTATTTCATGAGTCCAGTTAGACTCTGTAGGATTGGATTTCATACAACAAACCTCACCGACCCTTGAATTTGCACTAGTCTGTGCATAAAATTGGGAGCTAAGGACTTCTGAATAGTGGTTCTTGCTCTTATACAGTGCCTCTGTGCTCTGGGGTGATTAAATTCTTTGTCTGAAGTCCCCCATTTTTTAGAATGGGAGGACTTAACCCTCACAGACACTTTAAGACTGAATTTAGGCTGCTAGAATTAGAGACTTAAAAAGCCAGTGAAATTATATTGTTCAATGTGTCCAGAAACATAGGAGCATTCTACTACTTTTTTTGTCTACAGGGTGAGATCAGAGTTCACATTTGTCATAAGCAGAAAAGAAGGTGTATATTAGGCTGGTACCAGACCTAGGCCTAAAATCTGAGGAAATGTATCTCACCATATCAAAGTACAGTTCCCTGTTCCCCATCAAGGGCAGTTCAGTAACTATTCAGTTGTCTTGCTATTTAATCAAGGAGCTATGAGAAATGGAGAACAGCCTGCCCTCAAAGGCTCTGTATAAATCATCTAGGCATGGACATCCTAATGTTATTTAACCGTGGCTTCTGGAAAAATTGCTTCCTCTCCCCACATGCGTTTTTCCCCCCAGGAGTTGAGGAGCATGTACAATTACTTTCCTTGGTTTATTTGTAAAAAGGAGGAAGATAAAAAGCTCTTGTATAAAGTTACATTGAACAAAGATAGTGTTCCCAGCAATTACATAGTACTATAAATATATAGAAAGTAACAGTAGAACCCACTTAAAAATAGTTCTTGCCTCTTTTTCCTTTCCAGAATACAGAAAATTAAGTCAAATCCTGTTACAGTCCAGTAACTTGAATCTTTACTTCCTCATCCTTAAATCAAATTTATCCTATGAGAGATTTACTAGGGTAGATGCCTGGGCATGGTGTACTAACTGATTGTACTGACAGAACTGTTCTTTTGTTTGAGTCGATTATTCCAGCCACTCTGTTTCCAAGCAAAACGAGCTAGGCTGCCAAAAGGAGAATTTGTTGATACAGCTGCTTCTGAGCTAAGAGGCTTTCTGGCATAACTTTGACAATCCCACCTTTTTATGCTTCCAACTTGTATAGCTGTAAATTTAGCCTTGCACAGGGATAAGTCCGCACAGGAGCAGGAGAAAACAATTCCAAATTCGCTTTTGAAGGTAACTGGTTAGATCACATTATATCCTTGTATGGAAACTTTCTATGAATCATGTTAAACCCAATTAGGGTTATTTTAATTGTAAATGAAGCTATCTCCACTAAGGCTCAGTGTGGTTTAACCAATCCATTTTGAATTCCTGCCTTTAACTACTGAAATGAAAAAATTAATCAAGTGTTTCTGATCAGCCTTGAGCCTATTCACAAGTGTGCAATTACTGACTATGTGTGCAAGGAAGAAACCTTCATTTACCTAAATAATCAAGGAGTTTGGAAAGACACTGAACTAATTATGTGTGAAATAAAAATCTCATCATGCACTAAAGAGATGGTAAAAAGCAAGCAGGATACCAAAATCAAATCTAATTGCAGAAATCCACTTCTCTTTCAAATTAATCCATTTCTTAAAGTAGCAAATGTGAATGTATTTTGTATTGCGTGCGTCTCTTTTACACAGGGCCTGATTATTTAATCCCGCTCAGACCCTTTAACAAAGGGATCGTTATGCTACATAGAGTAACTAAAGTGTTCTGTTTCTACTGTAAATCTTTAAGATTTGAATTTAAAATTTAAAAATCTAAACTTTATCCAAGCAAACATGCTTGGCTACATGCTCTAGGTGATCCTGCATGTGCAGGGAGGTTGGACTAGATGATCTGTAAAGGTACCTTCCAACCTTAAGGATTCTATGAAATAGAAATACAGATTAAAAAAAAATCTGGCTGTTGCGAAGGACATATACAAGGGTAAATTTGTAATCAGGAATTCTGATTTCTCTACTTATTATCTGCATGCGAAAAGAGCTCTATTGTGGACCTGACAAACAAAATTTTGTTTATTTCAGTTAAAACGCACTGCTCTGCATTTTGCTGTTGCAAGGAATCATATATCTGCAGTTGATTTTCTTCTCCGTCACAAAGCTAGACTTGACATTGCAGATCAGGTAAACAACGTTGTTTTTATAGTAAAATCACTTTACATATTTTGATTCATACATTAGGAACACATTAGGGAAAATGAAGGTAAGTACTTCCTTGTGCTTCTGATTTTACAAAATTTTATGCTTGCTGTAAATGCTCCAATTCGTTTTAAGATTTCACACATTCATGTGAAAGGAATATAGTTAATATGAAAAAAGTAATATAGCTAATATAGTCAAGACTGTTGGCTATGTTGAGTACTTGTGTGAGCACAAGAATGGTGGAAGCCACTTGCAGAAGTAACCTGTCTCTGCAGTAACTCTATGCTGATCTGTAGCCTCCTCTACATAAAGACAATCTTATTAAAAGCAGGGATCGTTCAAAAGGTGACTGCTTGTGTTCCATTTTTGTGAGCAGCTTAATGCAAAACTGTGTCAGCTGCTCTGCAGCCTCCGAGGCATTAAGGGTTGAGTGGTCTGTGGCTAATTTAGTTGGGAAACATGGTGGTGCCTAGTGAAGGATTAGATTCAGATACTAATGCCAGATTTGTGGTGTTATTAATAAACAGACTGTTCAAACTAAGAGTTTTATAGTGAATGGTATGTACGTTTTTTTCCCAGAGAAGCTATGTTCGTGAGGTTTTTTTTGTTTGCATGTGTGTTTTTTTTCTTTTTTTCTTTTCTTTTTCCCACTCCACCCTCCCTTCCCTATCTAGTGTATGCAGAAGGGTATAAATTTTAACTAAATCAAAATCCAGGTTGGGGGGGGTGGGTGGGGAAGAAATAAGTTTCCTAGTCTGTCTGTCTTTTCTGTTTAATTTAAAAATAAAATAAAAGAGACTTGTCCAAAATTGCAAGAAACTTGTCCAACAGTTTCTGACTTGGGCACTCGCATGTATTATGGGAAATGCATGTGAAGTTTAGCTTGATTTGCTCTGAGACATTATCATGAATTTCCCTTCTTGTGACTATCTCACATACAGAAGGAAAGTGTTGCAAGGTGTTGTTTTGAAGAAATATGGCTCTCCTTCTGGATTCTATCTGCTCCTAAGCAAATCTTGTACTGTTGTAATCAACATTTTGATAGCTCTTTAGGTAATGATTTCTCTTTTGTCTGACAATCTGAAAGACATTGTGTGAATCCTAAATACTAAATGAACTAAATACTATGAAATTAATAGACTATGGTATAAATGCAAATAGAGTAATTTTGTAAGAAAGGGACGCTTTTTTCTTCAAGGAATAGTTCAATAGTTAAGAAAGGGTGTTCCTGGGTCTTTTGCATGGTATAGTGTCAAGGTAGCTTTATTCTGTAACTATTGTATGTTTTTCCTATGGCAAATTATATTTCAGTGGCCATCTTTCAGCTTTGTAGAGGCACTGAGCTGTTTTAAAGCATTTTATGGATCCTTTAGTACCTTGAAAGGGTGCACTGAGCACAGGTTGGAATCACAGTGCTTTGTGTTGGGGTCCTATTAAACCTGTCAGTCAGAGTCTCACTGTAATTAAGGTTTGTCTTTTAATTAATAGATGTTGTTAATCATCTTTTCTTCCTTCAAAGAACATTGAAAACATTTAATCTGTCATGATTATCTTACAGAGATTAATTGTTATGACATTATATATTATACTTGACAGTTACTCATGTACCTTTTGGCAATCAGTCTGATCTTGCGATTGATAAGAAACAGAATGAGGATACTGCAACTTTTCCTTATTCCATTTCAGTTTCTGATAGAATTATATTAATGACCACAGGTCTTAAGCATTCTTAAAATTTCCTCATAGAAAGTTAGCTGATTTAAAAACAAAATATCCTATTTTCAACTGTATGTTTTACTTCTTAAGTGTGACTCTCCATCTTAGGCCTGGAGACTTGAGACTGATTGATTGAGATAGTTATGTTTATTAGAATAGCTCTAAGAAACTAGTAATACATTAATTGGCTAATAAGCACACCACTATATTAATAATTCAGGATTATTTCACTATGACTTACAGTTGCATTGATTGAGTTACAATTCTTTTTTTAGTGTTGTATTATTGTTTAGCATTAGTATTGATACACAATTATACTACTGTTAGGAAATCTTCTGAACACATTAAGCACTGCTAAATTATAATTCTGCTGCCTTTCCTCCTGCACCAAATATTAAGGTGCAAGACTTTACAAGCTTCTCACTGCACCCTGCCGCTCCAAGTCTTTCCAACATGATAGTGAGTCCAAAGGCTGTCCAAGTGACTCTCCTCCAGTCTGTGGGAGGTTTGGCTCCACAGGTCATCTTCACCACCGTTTGGAGGCATCCACAGTCTTTAAAGGTCCCTGTCATAACATCCTGCTCTTCTTTGTTCTCCAGTTGATTTTGTACCTTATTCTCTATTTTTTTGTTCTTTTCCCGAGCCTGCTTTTACTTCCTTTCTACTGCTTAAACTTCTCCCAAATAAATGACCTATGCGCACTATCATTGAGGTTGGAGGGCACCTCTGGAGCTCATTTAGTCCAAGGCCTCTGCTCAAAGCACTGTCACTGAGAGCTGGTTACTCAGGGCCTTCCCCAGTCTGACTTGAGCATCTCAAAGAATGGAGACTTCACAAAACCTGGGCAACTGATTTTAGGGTTCGATTCTTTTGAAGTTAAAGGCTTTCTTATGTTTAAACAAAACTTCCTGTATTTCAATCTGTGTCTTTCTTCTTGTCTTTTCACTGGGCACCACTGACAAAAGTCTGTCTCTGTTTTCTTTACTGCTACTCATCAGGTTTATGTAGACATTGATAAAGTGGCCTGAGCCTTCTCTCACAGAAGCAGTACCAGGTTTCTCAGCCTGTTCTCATGTATCAGATGCTGCAATCTCTTAATTATCTTTGCTGGAGTTGCTGCAGTAGGTCCATGTCTCTCATGTACTGGGGTGCCAGATGTGGAGCCAACGCTCCAGATGTGTCTCTAGTGCTGAATAGAGGGGCAAGACTCACCTTTCTCAAACTGCTGGTAACACTTTTCCTCATGCTGCCCAGGATGCTGTTAGAATCATAGAATCATAGAATGCTTAGGGTTGGAAGGGACCTCTAGAGATCATCTAGTCCAACCCCCCTGCACACGCAGGGTCACCTAGAGCACGTGGCACAGGACTGCGTCCAAGCGGGTTTGGAAGATCTCCAGAGAAGGAGACTCCACAACCTCTTTGGGCAGCCTGTTCCAGTGCTCTGTCACCCTCACTGTTAAGAAATTTTTCCTCAAGTTCCTGTGGAACTTTTGGTGTTTCAGTTTGTGGCCATTACCTCTAGTCCTATCAGTGGCCACCAGTGAAAAGGGACCAGCACCATCCTCTGCACTCCCCACCTTGAGGTACTTGTATACACTGATTAGATCCCCTCTCAGCCTTCTCTTCTCCAGGCTGAACAGGCCCAGCTCACTCAGCCTCTCCTCATAGGGCAGATGTTCCAGGCCCCTGATCATCCTTGTAGCCCTGCGCTGGACTCTCTCCAGCAGCTCCACATCCCTCTTGTACTGTGGAGCCAAGAACTGGACACA